TATGTTCAATAGAAATACTAAAGACTCGTCAGGATTGTGTTTTGTAGCTTAAACTGCTGCAGATAAAATCATCATTTCACAATTGTTTACAAATATTTAAAGGAGAAGGTCGAAACTAAATCATCCTCACGCCTTGTTACTTATTGAAACCAACTAGAATATGCAAGAAGCTGCTTTCATAGATACCCTTTATTTGCACATGTATTTCCACGCTTTGTTTACATCGGCTTAGTATTCACAAGTTTAAAATCTAAAGCGCAAACGCTAACGGAGGTAAATACTTCAAGGCCATATTAAGGTAACTGTTATGCTGGTCTAAATCAGATATAATCATCATCATTTTCTTTCATTTGATACCCATATCATAGGGGTATATTTGGAAAATCTAAATTGTCAATTTGCGGAGGTTGCCATATTGGATTTAGGATGACGTCACGTTGCTTATTGTATTTTTTGCATCAAAACCGTTTATCTGATACTGATATCACAGAGATGAAGAAGGAAATTATACATCGCCATTTTGCGGCGGCCGGAATATTGGATCTGGAATTACGTCAACTTGCTTATTAAATATTTGTCTCATGAAGCCCATCCATTTGATACTCATATCGTAGGGGTTACTATGAAAATGATAAATCGCCATTTTGTAGGATCCGCCATATTGGATGCAAAATGGCGGCAGTCAATTTATCTTACATTGTAGCGCAAGCCAAACCTGTGTAAGGTGGTTATGGTCAGCTGGCTCAAAGTTCAGTTCTAACATTTCTCCTACACTAACAAACAGGTCAAGTTCAATGAAAGCTTACAAAGAAACACAATAGATAGGTTATGGCAATCGCATTACCATCTACCGTGTAGTTAACCTTATTTGACATTTCGGTCATAAGAAATCCATGGATTATGTGTCAAATAAGGTTAACGTTAACGTATGCAGTCAATACACGCTACTTGCCGTGGGAAGCAAACAAAAAATCGACTCAGAAAACTTCATTTAATATATTTGATACCGAATAGAGTGTATAGACTGCAATATTATAAAATATTAATATTTCGATTGGTATAACAAACTTCACTGACGTTCCGGGTGCCTGTATTTATTTAATGTAATAAAAGAATGGCTTTGTCTTGTAGCAACGTAGTATTTTTAATAATTTGAATTTGAACTAAGAAATAATAATAATAATAACAATAATAATAATCGACTTTATTGGAAACATGCTATAGGTACAGATAGACATATCTATGATCCAAAAGGCCGAGTTCACAAAAATAGTGTTCTTCTACTCAACCCCGAAAATTGACAAAAAAAAGAAAAAGAAAAAATAGAAAGAACAAGAAAAGAAAGGTTTTGTACAAAAAAAAAGTATACCTACATGCAAGTATCTAAGCGTAAAAAAGCATGGTCGTGCATTTCAAACGCATACATAAATACGTACATACATCACCTTAGGAAAAACCATTGTTATACATGGGAAATCATTTCTTGGCAACAGCGCATCGGCTCGTCTACTTTCATCGCTATTCGTATACATATTTCCTACCCTTAACCGCAGACCTGTATCACGAATGTTGCCAATTTGAGTAGAGCTTCCCGAATTGTGGGGAATTTAGAGTTAAGTGTTGATTCATTCAAGCTTTTAATCAGCATGGCCTAGACGTTAGAACTTCATAAAGATAACATTGAAGCTGAATGCCACAGTCTTTTCAACAAAGAAATTATTTTACGAAAATGCGTTATATTTTTACGACTTTGTCGTCACCAAATCTCTGTTTCTCAAAATGTACGTCTATTGTAGAATTTTCAGCAAACTAAGCAAGAAACGTGATCTAGTATTTACTCAACATTACGGATTTCTCGAAATACATTAAAAAATGTGACCTAGATACCTAACTGCCCCAAGCTCTTTAAATATAACACCTTAAACCAGGGTTACCAGGTGCTCAGTCACGTTGATTGTCATGTTGTACTGCGCAAGTCAGAAAACAATCTGGCGTAATAAACGTTAGGAATCATCAGGTATTGCCAGATTCCCGAATACCGGGCACCATAGTAACCGTTATGGTTGTCCTTCAAAGTTGTCAAATCGCCCCTATGGCGCAAATTCGCCACACCAGGCAACTGTGCTATAAACAAACCCTGTGTATCACTACTATTTGATAGTCATATGGTAGTTGTAGCCCTATCTAGAGCGGTCCATGATTTCTCTCAATACAGTTGTATCTCTACTGGCAACAAGAATAGGGATTACAAAATCATTTATACAACAATATACAAACATGAAAAATATGATTTGGACCATGAAACATTAATACAATTTTATAGTTTGAACTTTTTTTATTTTTGGAATACTCTTATGTGGAATCCGCAGCTATTTTTTCCGAAATTTGGGTAGACTTAGATTTCTTAGAAATATGACATATTGGTATCGGCAACTCTGCGAATGGGAGAAACAAACCGCATTTGTTGAGCGCATCTGTCTAATAATTTGAACGTTTGTTATCTCAATCAATTTTTGAATAAAACTTGTCCTATTTTCAAGCCCGTTAACAATTAAAAAAAAGTGCAAAAAATAGGTCGACTCTGTGCTTGCAGTACATATTTTGTATTCTTACACAGCATTGCATCAATAAAGCAAGTTTTTTTATTTAGTGAATAAATCAAAAATCAGATTATTATTATTAGATGTAACATCTGAAACCTATCCTGTGAGTGTCTCGCTGATAAATTCCGTGTTTCACTTTTTTTTAAGCTTTTGTCCGGCGTCGGTAATTAAAGTGATGACAGCGCTACGTCTGAGCTACGTTAATGATTACCAAAGGCTTCCACATATAACAGTAGAAAATAAAATTGAACGCATTATCTAAGAGCATGTTTTAAATCTAATCAGTCAGTCATCTGAAATTATGTAATAAAGATTTCAACACATGTGCAAACGCAAAACCTTTTACAATTCTTATCAACCACGCAATAGTGTCATGATAGTGCAGGTCCACTATGGACATAAGATATAATTTAATTGTGAAAGTGGCCATGTTTTGCACCGTGCGAACCAAGCCCTTAGATAGCCACGAATCACTAATAATTCGTGTTGATCGATTCATAATTGCTGCTGTGTAACCCATAAATAGCGATTCCCCCTATTTGATCTAGCTTAGAAGGCGTGCGAGGGCCGTCCGGGAAGGGTTTCTAGAAAGTGTGCGAGATTCTGACTAAACCATTCAAAGAGACTCTTTCCTATTAGAAGCGAAATTGTATAGCTCTCTGCGGTGCGAATCAGTGGACCACGCAGTTGAAGAAGATCACAAGCAAAAAAGGCCGCAGCTCGCACTGCAGTCAAAATTAAATAAATAGAACAAGCAAAATTAGAACATTTCTTTTTGAACCATATCAAATCCACTTATCTAAGAATGACATGAAACCAAAACAATTACCAGCACCTGTTCAGTAGGACATAAGCACGTTGATATATTTCATGCCGCGTTAGCGTGAGCGTGCGATGTGTTTCACTACCCGCTCCCTTTTTGATTACCGATTGTCTTATTATTGGACAGAATATGGGAAATGGAGTGGGAGACGACACAGCGGTGCATGCAGGCTCGCTGGCCCTGTAATGTGCTGGGCGTTCTGGAGTGCGACTTCTTGAAGTATTTGTGAATATATTTGCGTTTATTTTCTTACTTGGTCTAGAGTGAATTTAACAATGCCTTATCGCTTCCCGCCCTAAAAGACTATCTTCTTCCTCTTTGCTCCCTCCTGTCCTTCCTTTTTTTCCTTAACATTGTTTGGCCTCTGAGGTACCAGATTTGTCAGGTTTACGAACTGATGGTATGACACAAGAGCTGAGGTCCTACGGGCCGCTCTGACTACAAACGAGGACGAGGATGCTACACTTCAAGACGGCATAAAGTAATTTTTACTGGAACTTGATTAGGAATCGAGGTATTTCATTGCAAAAAAAGGGCAAAAAATATTTCGACTCTGTGCTTCCCACGGAACGCTGTCATCAGTTCATAAAGGACAAGTTAGCCCCTATGAGAAAGCAGTATCTACGAACATATAAAAATTAAATGGATCAAATCGGTCAAACAGACTAATATAATTAAAAGTTGCATAATTAGTATGGGTTTGCGTACAATTTTGGGGCTTATTAAGAATTGCCCGCCCCCTTACGTGAAACCGTGGGAAATTATGCTACATCTTGCTCTTTAATGGATTTTGGAGGCAGTTGCGCTTTCACACAAAACTATTTATTACCCATGAAAAATTCCTGGGTGCACACATGTTCGGTGCTATGACTAATCCCGTGTGAATGACGATATTGACTTAACCAACCCACAGCCGTAGAAAAGCGATTGCTCACTGTGTCGTACGTAAATCAGCCGGAGAACGGCGTACCTATCGACACCCGACTGATGAAAATATTTCTATGTTTGAAGGATAAATGTACAGAAAAATATTTTTTGAGCGAAATGCATCTAATAGGTGTGCCAACTTACAGGGGTTGAAGGCGTATAGATATACCAACGTCGAAAAATTGAGATATACTCCATCTCCTACAACCCCTAACCCCTAAATTTTTTCCCCTACAAAAATGATCATAAGCCTTTGAAACGTCAAAACAGTTTGAGCGGCTTTCAACCTTCATGAAAATTTTGTCTAAATGCGACCAGTACTTTGCAAGTTATAATGTCGGCAAGGATTAGCGGACAGACAGGCCGACAGACAAACCGAAGAAACAGGTGACGTAGGTGTCATATAACATCCGGAAAAATATAATAAATCATTTTCGCCATTACAATACCTCCTCGGCAGTAGGCGTGAGAAATAAAGGGTCATCCTCAGTGCATCTATAACTATTGAAATGCATCTCAGGAGCTCTAAATCTTTCCTCATTTTATGACTTTCCCGTCAAACCACGACTTGTTAAAGTGTTTGAGGTATTTTTGCCTAACCTGCTATAAGCATGACAGTGGAAATAAAAAAATGTGTTTCGACTGTACTCTAAAATAGATATTTAATAACAAGCAAATCTTTTGACGCCTACTCACTGTAATTTTGATATATTTATTTCGGAAACATTATAAATAGGGCAAGATAACCGCTTTGTTATCAAATCTAGTCTTCTTTCATATCAAGATGTTCAATCCAACTAGAATCTTCCTGTTGCTTACAATTTACTGTAGGACAGTCTACGTGTTCGACTTATTTGCCCCCACTGGCTGCAAAGTAAGTATGCTGAGTCTACTTTTAGTAACACTTTTTGACCCGCTCCTCCAACGGAGGGGTGATATGAGCTTAACCGTTGACCTTTTTTTTTTTTTTTATAAAATCAGTACAGCTGCTTAGAAATAACAGAGACCGACAAAATTTTTACCCCGAAACGAGAGTATACCTTCCTGAATCCGAATCCGTGTTCAAATCTCTCCTAATCTAAAAGAGAAAAAAGCATAGACATTATCTCAAAGTACAAGCCTTGCCCTTCCAACTGGCGCTAAGTTTGCATGAATACTTTTTTGCTCAGATATGGCACTTTGATATTACAATTTTTTTAAGTTAGTATATATTAGTATATTAAGGGTCAAGGTCTTGCAATAAAACAGAAGTTTTAGTCTTTGTCTTGGTCTTGCATTGCACTGTCGGAGTTGCTTCGAAGGCATGGGATGTATAGAGTCAATCTCCTTGCCGCCATTTGTTATATTGAAAATGCAGGAAGGGCAGGGCCTAAATAGATACTGAAGATGTATCCTGTTGCTATACATAAGCTCATGTTGTGACAAAATGTTCGATATTATTGGTAAGCTCGGAACTAAGGAACGGTCGTACCGAAGAGTTCTCGATCTAGAGTTCTCGACCGCTCTATAGAGAAAAAACTGGCTGTTGTTCACTTTCTATTGCTTTTGTGACAGAACGCTGACCTTACCGTAATTTTGAAAAATCCTTCAAACAGTCCAATAAAAGGACAGTGCAAGAATAGCAACCAAGGAAGGAAGTACCACTCGTTCACGAATATACCATATGCAGAACCGCCTTTAAGAGAAAGAAGATTTCAGGTAAATATGTATACGTATAGCGTCAAACTACTGGAATGGCTTGTTTGTAAAATACTAAACATAATGTTTCTTGCAGCCCCCTGAACCTGTACACCCTTGGAAAAAAACCTTTGATGCTACGAAAACAAATAAAGTTTGCTTGCAAGATCCAATACTACAGGGTGCTGGTTACATTTTTGGTACTGAGGACTGTTTGGTTCTGAACGTTTATACTCCTCGGGTAAAAAACTTTTTATCTATACTAAAGGGTGTTCTAATAGCATTCAAAGTTGGCCCATTTTTCAACAACTTGCCTTTTGGTCATTTTATATTTCGGGGGCATGTGCATCCATATAGCAAACTCCAAGGTGGTTGCACATTGGCGGCCCTGCAACAGAATTCAAATTCAGCAAGATTTTCGTCTCCGGGAGGCCTACAGCTTAAATGGTACAATGAATTTTTATATATGAAGCCTCTAGATTTGTCTGGATAGTTTGATTGACGCTGGGTATACAAAAATATTATAAAACCTAAATGACGTATATTTATCGAAAATTTCAACTTTAAAGCTCCTGTTATACGGTCTACACCTCTATATGAGGTGACTAGATTCTTCTAGGCAGTGCGAATGTCATTGGGTATACTAAAATTTTATACAATCAAAATGGTAGAAATTTCTATTTCACTGGTTACATCTCAAACAACTTGATGAATCTGTCTTGATCAGGCGACACTGGGTAAACTCACATTTTGTAAAAGAAAAATGGTGAATTATAAATGCAAATTTCAACTCTGAGGTTTCTAGGTCACGGGCTACAGTCCCCATAATGGGCGCCCATGTGCGCAGCTGTCATCAAGAGGCCCCAGAATTTAATTGGATGCCTCAGAATTATACAAATTCACTAGGAAGGTTCATTTGCATTCATTGGCGTATTGAGGGTGGCGCTTTGGGACATTCCCGATATAATACAGCATACTATATATACAAAGAAATATTGTTAATCCGATTTCGGAACTACCTAAGGTTAGCAGAAGACAGGCGGGTCTGTCTTTCAGGCACATCACGCGGTGGCATCATGTAGGAGAGCTCTAAGGAGCAAAGTTCATTGGAGACGCGGTAAGAGAGATCTTGATCGCCAACGACCCTTCGGCGCCGGTACAAAAGGCTCCCGAGGTTGTCCGTTAGTGAACAGTCATCGATCAGTTGGTTAGCCCTCCTCTGAACAACATCGAGCGTGGATAATGTAGCTGGCGCGCAGAACCCCAAACACGTGAGCAATACTCGAGGCTAGGCCTTATCTGGGCATTGTACAGAGTGAGGAGGTCATGTGGAGAACAGTATGTCTAAGCCCTAAACAAACATCCTGGCTTTTTCCCAGCAGCTGCCGCAATTGACGAGATTTGTTCGAGCCAGCTCAAGTCCTCGGTGATCTGGACTTCGTCCAGCCGAAATGAACATCGAAACCCGATAAGCGCTAGGGCGCTGCTTGTTAGTCAAAGTACGGTACTGTGCTTGCAAGCATTAAACTGTACAAGATTGTTACATCCGCATACAGTGACAACCTTCGGGTTTTTCATCAAAGAAGAAGACGCTGCTAGTCTTCTCTTTACCAGCTCACCGGCAGAGACCTGCTTGTCACTCCGATTTCCTGCATGTATAGTGCTGTCATTAGCAAAACTGTGGATTGGATTGATCGTATAGGAAATAAGGTCATTGATATGTAAGAGGAGCAGTGTCGGAGCCAAGACCGATCTCTGGGGAACACCCGCATTGACCTTGTGGGATGTAGAGGAGAATCCGTCAATTACGCGGGAGGCCATAGGTTGGCAGCATGCCACAGGTGATCGAACGTTTCCGTGATATCAAAAAAACAAAGACTAGATCCGCCCTTAGGCTCCCCCAAAACTTTTTCTGGATACGCTTGGGTTCGCATTTACTTCCACGTCACTAGTGAGGAAGTGGTGTAATCATTAAAAATTTAGGAAATAAGCTATTATGGTTTTTGTATTTTAAGTACATGACATGTACATGTCTATCGGTCTGTTCGCTTATTCTTGACCCTGTTATAAATTGGAAAGCACCAGTCGCTTGAACTGCATTTCTTGACATTTTAGAGATAACTGAACTTTCCAGAAACATTTTTGTAGATGTTAAAATTTGGAGGTTGGGTGTTGTAGGTGGTGGAACCATTTTTTGATGTTGGCTTAGTTACACTCTTTTAATCCATGTGATTCTACGCACCCATCAGATATTTGAGAGACTATCATTTGAAAAAAGGACCCCCATACCTCTATTCCAATAAAATATAAGCAAGTAAAATATTTTTACAAATTTTTTAGTTTCATCTAAAAACCAAAAGCGACCTATCGGGACAACATTCACTTATAAAGATAAACAATTTCAGAGTCCGTCCCTACTAACAAAATGATTTTTTTTATAACTTGTAGATATCAAACGATGCATCAAAATTACTTCCAGTCTTATTCTGGATTCATGGAGGTGCTTATGTATCGGGATCTGGAGTACAAATGGCTGGGTTCGGATTTTTCGACCATCATGATCCTGGATTCTTCATGGACGAAGAAATTGTTGTAGTTACTATGAACTATCGATTAGGAGCTCTAGGTATAATAGGCCATATTTAGTTTGGCAGTAATCATTGCGGATAATAATATTTTAAGGTTTTTTGACAACAGAAGATGACACCATACCAGCCAATATAGGTCTTAGAGACCAGAATTTTGCATTAAAATGGGTTATAGACAACATTGAAATGTTTGGTGGTGATCCCAAGGATATTGTCATTTCAGGAGAAAGTTCAGGAGCCGCCAGCACATGTTTCCAACTGCTATCTAATGGAAAAGGTATGGTTTTTAATGTGTAGCTGCATTATGCACGGTGCAAGGAATAAAATATCTCAGAATACGTATTGACATTGAGAATATGACAGAAATGTTGCGCACAGTACCATATAATATCAGATATCTCAGAACATTGTTGCATATTCTTATATTGTTGGATATTCTACAGCCCTGTACCTTATGGCCTAGCTAAAAGTTATCTTAGCTACGGAATTATTGCCTAGGGAGCTGCAAAAATCGCATATGTTTGAAACTTGGAAATAGTAAAAAAATCATTATAAAGTCGATGTTTAAGAAGCTAAAGCTATATTCAACATAGTTGTTCCAGAAAAAAATATCTTACAAAGGTTCTATAGCAGTCTGGGACCTAGGTGTTAAAATATACTTCCTGAAGAATTACAACAAATAAGCGCACCTGGAATATTTAAGAAGAAAGTAAAACAATGGATATTGACTCTACCAAAGTCATACACATCAAATTATTAATCTAAAAAATAATTGAAATACCAAAGTAAAAAAACTATATTAGATAGTATTCCAAAATATGTAACTTTCGCCCGAATTGAGACACTAGAAATGCTAGAGTAAACAAAAAAACGGACTAGATAATATTTCCATATATGCCATCTTACCCAAATTGAGACACAGCACATATGCTACATTAGAATAAAGAAATCTTGCTGGGTTCTCTTTAGTATAAGAGTATTTTGTATTTTCTTTTACCCGCGCATAAGGTCTTTCATTTGTTTGTCTTGATATAATTTGTTTTTAAGTATATTGAAAATTTTCAAGACAAATAGATTTTTATTATGATTATTATTATTATAGCATTTGTTGGTGTAACGACCCAAATCACAGAAAAATACATAGTATCAACGTTTCAAGACATAAAACGACATTTCATATTCCTCTCATGGCATGGAAAGCAAAAGGGTAGCTTTTCTTAATCTTCTTGAGTCGAAATGCATTTTTTACAGAACTGTCTACAAGTATCTAACTACAAAACATCCCGCAGAAACCTTACAGTGATGAGTGACTCGGCTATTCTTTTAAACTAATATGTTGTACTTCTCAACACGTAGAAGGAAAATGTCCTAGGGCCCAACGTTTTTCCACGAGTACTTTCCGAGATGCTGGCCTTGAATTTGTACAGTCCGTATCATACTGCAGCGTACTTTAAAAAAATTAGCCAAAAGTAGTTCTCGATGGGATTTGTGCGGAGTCCCATATCCCTTTTTTCAACAGCCTGTTCGGTGGAATATCGGCCAGGTCGGGATGTACGAAGTTTGGCACGGTTACGATGGGAGACCGATGTCAAGCTGTCGGTGCGAAAGGGCCTTGAGACTGTACGTTAGAGAAGTGTCATCGATCAGTCGGACAGCCCTCCTCTAAATAGCTACCAGAATGGGTAATCGAATCGGGGAGGCAGCGTTGCAAACATTTGAGCAGTACTGTAGACTAGGTCTTATCTGGGTCTTATACAGAGTGAGAAGATACCTCTTAGCCCTAAGCAAATAGCTTAGCCTCTTCCCAGTAGATACTGCTATTGATGAGTTGTGTTCGTGCCAGATGAAGTCCTCAATGATCTGGAACACCAACCAGCCAGTCAAGGTATAATAATGTGTTTTTGGGAGAATTGAACTGTACCAGCTTGTTGAGTCCCAAATTCGTGATAACCTCCAGGTCTCTCGTCAGAGAGGAAGTCCCTGCTAGTCTGCTTTTCTGCAGCTCACCGGCAGAGATCGGCTTGTCACTCTGAAGTCCTGCATGTAGAGTGCTAACATCGACAAATCTGTGGACCGGATTGATCGAACAGGCAAGGAGATAGTTTACCTATATGTAAAAGGATCGATGCCACGACCAATCTGAGGGGAACACCCATGTTGACATTGTGGGATGAAGAGGATAACCCGTAAATTACGATGGATATCTTGGGACCAGACATGATGTCACGCACCCATCTTCAAAGCTCCTCTGGGAGGCAGTGGTTGTGCACTTTTTATACATTTTTTCTTCGATCGTAAAAGATAGTAATGCAGCTCTGAAACTGTATGTAAATATTCTACTTATATAGTAGTGATTGCTTTTTTCGTATCTCTCCCTTCTTCAAAAAATCATTGCTTTTCTTGATAACACAACTTGCTGCAAAATAAGTTCTCAAGCAAAGCAAAGATTTTTGAAACCAAAAATGTTAAAAAAGTAATTACTCACTCAATTCTACTATCAAATTGGAATATTTACATAAATTCCAGAGCTGGTAGCAAGTTACTATTGAAGAAAAAATCCACAATCAAATTCACAAAAAATGCATTTTTTACAAAAATTTAAAACATTGTTCATTAGTCATCACTATACACACTATGAAATGGTCAGATGAAAAGTTTTGAGGATACTCCTCCAAACAGGCAGTTGAAAGAAACGGGATGTTAGACTAAGAAGTAAATGACCTGCTTGAACATTTTTTATTCTAGAAATGGAGTCAGTAACTGGTGCCATAATGATCAGTGGCACATGTCTGTCTCCTTGGACGATCAATATGGATGCCAGGAAAAAAGCATTCGACCTTGGAAGAAGATTAGGACTAGATTCTTCTAATAATAGCTCAAGAAGTCTCTTGAAAAAGCTGCAGAGTGTGCCGGCTAAAGACCTTATGCGTAGAGGAGGGGTGAGCATATTAAAAACAATACGGATTTTTCATTCATTCTAAAATTTTTACTTCCCACGCCTAGTGACAAGGTAGTATTGTAATCGCAAAAAAATTAAAAAATGAGATTGTTATTTGGATGCTATCGCGAAAAGTACTGCTCGAATTCAGATGAAGTTTTCACACAAGGCTACTACTATTTGAAAAAAGCTTCACAGTTTTTGGAAATCAGTCTAGTGGAGGCGGAAAGAATGCCAAAACGGAAAAAAAGAATGCTCGAGCTTTGTTTTTTGGCGTTTCACAAGGACCTGATCATTTTTTGAAAATACTTGAAGGATAAAAAGTGGGTGATGTGAGAGGGTGTATCGCAATTTTTTGATGTCAGTCTATCAATCATCTTCCCACCCCAGTAATTCCACGCGCCTATTGCACATCAAAAACCTGGCACATTTATTCTTCCATGAATTTAAAATAATTATTTGGTAGATTTCATCTAGCTCTCCAATATCGGCTCTCATCAACGTGTTCTTTGTGGATAATTTTTATTTTTACCTGTGCCACATATACAATCTGAGCATGCACAATATTTTCAGATACTGCAGATTCTCAAATTATCACCTGAAACTGTCCAGAATGAAAAAAGTTTGTGGCTTCTGTTGAATCAGCCACACTAGCTTTATATTCATTAATTGCAGATACTCTAAAGTCAGCTCACATCAAAGGAGAATACTTTATAAAAGACTCGTTTGATGTTTGTCAACAATTTAATAGATTTCAAATACCCCCTGATCATGTTATTGCGAGTTTAGATGTAGTTTCACTGTTCAGCAATGTGTATTTAGAAGCTTGCATCAGATCCATCAACAAACATTGGGATCTAATTTGCCAACACAGCAACCTAACTCTGGATTCTTTCATCAATATCGTAGAGTACCTTTTCCAGAACAATTACTTTACCTTTAATAACAAAGTGTTTTCACAAACACATGGCTGCCTCATGGGCTCTGTTTTATCTCCAATTTTGGCAGACTATGTAATGGATGACCTGCTTGATGTTGTTATTCAAGTATTGCCATACAGTCTAATTTTCATTAAAAAATATGTGGACGATATAATCGTTTGTCTTCCTTATGATAGGGTGGATGATATTGTTGAGGTTTTTAACAGTTATGATCCTTACATCCAGTTCACCATCGAAAAAGAAGATGACAATCAATCTGTTCCCTTTTTGGATTCAAGATTGATTCGTACCAATGACAATATATTACTGGTAGACTGGTACAGGAAACCAATTTCTTCCGGAAGGTTCCTGAACTTCAGGTCTTACCATGAACTTAAAATAAAAATAAACCTGGTGAAACAAATGAAGAACAGGGTTATAAAAATCTCTGACAGTACTTTCCATCTTTCTAATTTAAGGAAGCTTTCAGTCTTATTTGTCAACAATGGCTATCCTATGTATTTGGTTAACAGAATCTTGTTCAGCTCTCCTCCGAATATTTTGCCAATCCTAATAACAATAGTGAAAATGACAACACGGGTCAATCCAACCAGATACCCACTAATTCTTCAACTAATGAGAACAACAGTACTACAGTGGTTGCTCCTATTTCCAGAGTTAATTATGTTGTTTTGCCATACATCAAAGAACTAACACCAAAGGTCAGGCTGTATAATTCCTTTAATTGTCGTTTTGCTTGTAAATCAGTTCTCACAGTCAACAGTTTGTTGTCCAAAATGAAAGATACGGTTCAGTTGCTTGATTCAACTAATACTGTCTATCGTATTAATTGCAACAACTGCAATCTAGTTTATATAGGCCAAACTTCTAGGTCGCTAAAAGGCAGGATAACGTCACACAAAAGTGATGCCAGATTACATCCAGAAAGATGTGCTTTGGCGTCGCATATTAACAACACAGGTCACTGTATGAATTATGACAGTATTGAGGTTCTTGATAAAGAAAAAAGACTCTCAAAACGTTTATTTTTAGAAATGTCCAACATTTTCATGACAGATCATTGCATGAATAAAAAAGCTGATGTTAAGCAACTCAGTGTCATTTATTGCTACCTGTTGAATTGCGAAAAGCTAGAACGGCTACATGTCCAAATTGATCCAACATCTTCACAAAATTAGAATACATTTTCTCACTCACATTTTTAATATAAACTCACATAACCCATCTTTTCAAGGTTGTATCAATATCACACATTCTTGCACTCATATGATCCACACACTTTTATCTAAAACAAGTTATTTCAGCATTTTAGTAATGTTGGGTGGAGATTTACCGAGCGCCCCTCGTATACTTCATACCCAAAGTTGGATAGGGAGGTGTACACTTCCACGTTCCGTCGCGTCAATCACTTGTCATCTGTCGATGCTTTACCTTTCCGTGCCTTCCCTCTCTCCACGTGTAGCGGTAGTAGAAGGTTAGGGACTGCATTCCGATTGTTTCAACAAAATGTCTCCCCACGTGTAATATTTTTAACTTGTTCGGGTGTATTGATATAATTTTTATTTTTTCTTAACTTTTAACGAAGGTATCTGTCGTTTTTCAACAAGCCCAATGTCCCCGTCCTTTTGTTTTTATACTGATCACAAGTTAGATCTTCTCTACGTTCTTTCTGAAACACCTTGTGGCTGCAACCTCACCGACGAGTAAGTTGTCTGACATTTTAAATATGTCCTGTTTTCTTTGCTAGCATCACAATTGTGTTTTCAGAATCCTGATGATGGCTCCATAGAGAATGCCGAAAGCTTGATTTTATCGTCAAAAGAGTCAACTTAAGCCTAAAAGTGTTGCCAATTTCCCAATTAACAAGTAATTGTATATATATATATATATATATATATATAACAACAAGTAGGAAAATAATGGGCAAAATCCGCAAAACGGAGGAAAGTGGATTCGAGCAGAAAATAGGCTAGGTAACCCGAGCGATACGTATTTCTGCTGGTTGGCTTCATCAGGCCCGAAATGAATGCACATATGAAACTACAAAAGTAGATACACATGCCCACACATCCGGATACGGGTGTAACCTGAGGAAACGAAGTTGGAGGGAAAAAAAATGACACACGAAGTCCACAACAAGAGCCAACCTACTTGTGGACTTGTGGACTTCGTGTGTCGTTTTTTTTCCTCCAACTTCGTTTCCTCAGGTTACACCCGTATCCGGATGTGTGGGCATGTGTATCTACTTTTGTAGTTTCATATGTGCATTCATTTCGGGCCTGATGAAGCCAACCAGCAGAAATACGTATCGCTCGGGTTACCTATCTTATTTTCTGCTCGAATCCACTTTCCTCCTTTTTGCGGATTTTGCCCATTATTTTCCTACTTGTTGTTATATACATTTCTCCGCATGATCATATTCTCTTTATATATATATATATATATATATTTATATTTCTCTTCAAGATATGCTTAAATAATTTCAAGAAAGCTAGCTTGAAAATAACGACTAGAAAATGTCGAACTTTTTTGTGCTATATTTTCTTTTATAGAATAATTTGCTTTTCAGTACAACTGTTTTACAATAAATGAAAACCAAAATCTACAAAAGTATTTCGCCATGATGATTCTGGAAATATTTATGGTCTAAAATTTCACCGAACCTCAAGAGAATCTTTTGCTCACTTTGAAATATTCTTTTCCGCCCGATATTTATTTATATTATAATATATTCACGTTAAAATTCAGATTTTTCTTTACATCATTTTTTGTAATTTCCGCTAGTTATGGAGCTTTATGAATGGCTCAAAAAGCTGTTTTGTCAATATGATTGCCCAAAATCCCACATACGAGCATTTATGCATGACCTAATAAGAGATCTAAGAGAATTGGTATTATTGGTATAATCTCGTGAACGAACGTATGTCTAAAAATATCGTGAGAACTATTTTTAAAGCTTATTTATCGAGCTACTGGCATATCAGCATTACTTAAATAGCCTAAATCCAAATGTTCACCCATTATAGAATTTTTGCTAGGTAAAAATGTCCATTTACCGAGCTACTTGTAGAATATATGAAAACGAAATTTCAGTTGCACTATCAGGTTGACCAAACCGAATACGAGAGCATTCAAATCGATTATTCACCGGTTTTGGCGAAAGACACGTTTCCAAAAGAACCAATGGGCGATGCTATAAGCCAGGGACGTTTCCACAAAGTTCCACTTCTGTTTGGCGTTAATTCGGAGGAATGTCTTTTGCCAATGTTTGTGGGATTTGTACCTCAGATTAAAAGAAAAGCCAAAATGTGGGATGAAGAGCCTTCAAAAATGATACAAGTAAACGTGAACGTGGATGACAGGCTTAAGGCTGCTGAAGATATGAAGCCATTGTATACGAATAAAAGTTTTTCTGACGATATAGCAGCGGTAGTAAAGGTATGTGGCTATGATCTTAGTTAATAAGCATCTTTCAGTAGTAATCGGAATATTACCAGGCTCTGCGAATGCGTAGCATATCTGAGGTTTAGAGAAAATTTAATCTCTAACCAACGAGATTATTAGGTTTCTTTAATCTAATTAAAAAATTTACTGTTTTTTTTTTTATTCAAATTTCCAGTCCAATTCATCAACTCACAAAAGGCGCCTTTTCAACAGTTCTTCACAAACAGCCAAATAACAGTAACAATTTCCAAGAGATTTCTAACTACTTACACCAAGGACTTGCAAGAAATAAGCAAAAATAGTTGTTAACCCACAATGAGCTAAATGGCAATCCGCATGTTGCTGTTCATTTGGCGGATTAGTCAAAGCACAGCGTTGCCAGATGGGTCGTACAAAATTTCCCCAAAACAAGTACAAAAAAATCCCAGAATTGCTACTTTTTCCAAAAAACTATACCCCAAATCACAGTTAATTAACCGAAGCCAATCGTGACAGTAATGCAAAGCTAATGACCTATACTTTACACTACTTCCATGCAGACGAAGCTGCTTACTTAGGCTAGTAAATAATAATTTTGTTGGTTTCAGTTTTCAACCGACGATTTCTTTGTGCTTCCCGCAGCGAAGCATGCAGAGAGTGCTTCGAAAAATGGCGTCCCGGTCTACATGTATCAGTTAGCCTATCACTATATACCACATTTTGTACCAGGTCAGTACACATTTTCTGAATATTTTACTCCATTTTTTATTATTCATAAATCGCACAAATTTTTGCTAAATGCATTTTTTTCAATACGTAAAGCACCATGCATGCCTAAGGCCTAAATATCCAGGGCTACCGTGGGGGCTGCTGAGAATACAGGGGAAAAAGAGGGGGCCGCCCCCCGTCTAGCGAGGGAAGACATGTGCATGTGGCATGCACACATTTTGCTCCTACCCTGGAGATCCGCCTGGTGGTCTGAGTCCGTCTACCACCTACGGACAATCAGGACAATCACAATTTCCATAGCCAAGAGATAAATTTTCTTGGGACGGGATTTGAACCCGCGCAGCTCGCTGATACTGATTAGTAGACCCATACCGTCCACCACTACGTCACCGCGCTACCTAATTGTCAAAGTGTAATATTAAATCAAGTTTTGCTGCTGTCCCTTTATAAATTGATGAAGAGCCAACATATTTGATGCCACTAGGTAAGGAAGTTGTAATCTCTAAAAATTTCGAAAAGGATATTATGTTTTTCTATATAACATTATATATATACATATATATATATATATATATGTTCTTCTCGAGTGTATGACATTTTTAAGCATATCACTACTACGCAAGGGCGAAAAAGCTTTTTAGGTTTTGAAAATCGGTCCAGTGGCGGCGGAGAAAGAGGCCAAAGTGATAATAAAAATTACGCAAATGTTTTTTATTGTTTCAGAGAAAAATTAGGGGGACTCGTAGGGGGTGGGGTAGGGCATATCTCAATTTTTAATGTTAGGATATTTATACGCTCCTAACCCCTGTAATTCTACGCACCTATTTCATACATCTGTATATTTGATAGAGAAGTGTTTTCGAGGCGTGTCTCCTTCTGCTATTTAGGCTCAGCGCCCGGTGTAACGGTCTGCTTGACTGTTCTACTTGTACTACGGCAAATAAGGGAAGCGGCAACGTTGCCAGATGGACAGTATAAGTAGGACAGGGAAAAACTAATTGTATGGGCCTGTTTAACTGACTTGATCCGTTTAATTTATCATGTTCCTAACTACTTTTTTCTCAGATGGCTTAACTTGTGCTGAACTTGAAGCTTTATAAACTGATGACGACGTTGCGTAAGAAGTGCATAGTCAACCTACTTGACGCCATATTTTTACAAATGTGTGATATTGCTTTAATCAAATTTGGAAATGCTGAATCTTCTGTGACATGTGTTCTGTATGTATAGGTGTAGAAGGGCTTGCCCACACAGAAGACTTGTTGTTCTACTGGGATACAACTATAACTAAGGCAAACAACTTGCTAATTCCACACCACAAACTAATCTCGGAGAGAATGGTGAAAATATTGAGTAATTTTGTAAAATACAAGTAAGTAGCAAGTTAAACTCGGCTTTCACTATTTAGAGACCACATACAAGTAGCGTGATGGACCAAACGAATTCAGACCAGGTAGATGGAGCAAGTCTAGGATTTGTTTTTCTCCTCAGTCTCATAGTCTGTAGTTAGGATTAAAGTTCAACTACACGTCGACCAGGCTCAAGCTGCCAGTTTGACTGTTATTGGCATTTCACATGAAATTCGCATTTTTCTGTGAAAACATATGAATTTTCCTGGGTTACATACAGTCCTAGTATTTCAGACAATAGTGGAAAATAGTAAAGATTTCTGTGAAATGCAAAAGCCGCTTAAACAGAATTATCGATCGATAAGTGTCAGCGTATATAATCATAGGCGTTGCTGGACGATTTTGAGATAATTTTGATTTATCTCAATCTGCTTCCTGTTTCATTGAGTGCTCAGTCTAAATTATAAGTATTGTATATGCATACAACAACATTGAAAAATTAAAAGTATTTGGAGCAAACTAAATTTCTTGAAGGACACTGAAAGGTCCAACTGAAACATCATCTTTGAGTCTTATCCCCTTCAATTTTGAATTTAAAGGTTCCTGAAAAGGTCTTCACCTTCACGTTTCAAATAGTAATTTTACGTTCTCCTTTTATTGCCACGAGTTTCTAGTGAGGCAGATCAGTACGTATAAATATTTTCTTTCGTTTTTTGCCCTATTTAATTTATCCATGTTCAATAACAATAACTGAGTGATTCACATCGCAACAAAGATATCTAGTACTTAAATACCCCGCCAGAGATAAAGATGTAGCCTTGTCACTTTGATAGGTAATGGTAGACAAATGAGCCAAAGGTATGCACCGAAACTACCCAATTTTGGCGACTAACAATGCAACGTAAACAAATGTCTGAGTCTTTATATAGACGAAACACTTTATAGGGAAACACACATACAGTATGTGGCTAGTAAGCTTAACTCTGTTTACTTTGCATTAAGAAGCCTACGAGGACTAGTCGTAGGTGTCTCCCAAATACTTATTTTGCAATGGCATACTATTACATGAGATATTTGATTATATATTGGGGCATTTCTTGTAGCATATAGAAAATATTCATTCTGCAAAAGATGTTGATTAACGTAGTCTTTGATCTCAATCCAATGGACAGCTGTTGACCACTATTTGAGCAAAATAAAATTTTAACGCTGCCATCAATACTAATTGTTAAAGAAAACACAGCGCAGTGATAAACACGCCTACAATACATACATAATAACCAAAGTCGCACTCAAAATTTCAATCTCAGAGCTAATAGTAAAAAGAATCTGATGTATTTATGTAATACTGTTTATAATGAACTTTAGACATTAAGCATTTTACCAGCTTAACTTTGTGTAAAAATAAACTTGGCTATCTTTTGCTAAATAGGGCATGTTATAGTACAAATGAATTTTTATGCGAATAACCTTCTATCATTATGTGTGTTCCTATATCCCGAATTTCTCATGTCATGTGTTAGTCATTGAATTCTTCTATAAACTTAGCTACTTCTAGCTCACCTGAATCAGAATTTGTACAGCTATGTCTCGTCTCTCTGGTCGAGTTAGAAGTCTTCTTTTAAAAGGTTAATATTTGATAAATGGCTCAGTAGCCAGCTATGTTGGCATATCTCGCATCATAAAGAGAAAACGAAATAAATAGAATCAAGTGGTAGCTATTTTTGAGGTTTATATTACTGAGAAGTATGCTCTTTCCAGAAAACCGATTATCAGGAAGGAAAAGCTTTTCGAAGACCTGGAATGGCCTGAATTTGATGGCAAGGACCTGCAGTTTATGTCGATAAATACACATTTAACATTGGAATCCGATCCAAGGAACTATTCTGTGAAACGTACAGTATTGGAGAGACATCTGAAAGGACCAATATTAGTTTTTTGATATAGAATTACATGTTTTTAATAACGCCAGCCATGTCATAGGAAAACAACAATAAAAAATCAAAAAAACTGAACAAGTACCTTATCACAGGAATACAGTCGAGATCAGTAGTAATCTCCATATTAGCGAAAAGTGAAGCACTCGGTGCCTTTGTGGAATATTTGAAACCAAGAATCCACTGCGTGGTTGCCAGTTGTTCCAATTTAACACCAAAGGAGGATTTCACAAATTGTACTTTCCACTCAGCCTAGGTAATAAAGTAATATAACATGTAACAAAACATGCATGGATGAAGTATGAAGTAATAATAATTATAACTCAAATTAAGTATCTACATAGATAACGTATAATGACATTATAATTTGGGGGACAAAAGGTAAAATGTTGATAAAATCAAATGTTCGTTCACTGAGATCCATTAATTCTTCAGGTGAGTTGTTCATTATACTAGCTATATGATAGGTAAAACATCTCCTGTACAAGCTTTTGTTGTGCAGGTGCATACTAGATGGGACAGAAGAACGAGAACATACGATATTGATGAAAGTTGTTTAAAAAATTAATAACGCCTACTTTTATCGTTTACTTTATTGAATCACGGGCTGGTCGGATTAGAAAAACAATTGCGTTCTCCCTGATTTCGGAAAAATAAAAAATAGATAACTTAATTTCAAATCCTTGGTCCTTGCTTTATGTTCAATCAAAGACTAAAGACTCGTCAGGATTGTGTTTTGTCGCTTAAACTGCTGCAGATTAAAATGATCATTTCACTATTATTTGAAAATATTTAAAGGCTATTCAGGAGAAGGTCGAAGCTGAAGCCTCATTATGTATTGTTACTTACTGGAAGCAGCAGGAATATCCAAAAAGCTGCCTTCACACTTTATTTACATAGACTTAATGTTCACAATGCTAACGGATGTATATACTTCGCGGCCATATTGAGGTAATTGTTATGCTGGTCTCAATCAGATGTCGTCATTATTTTCTTCAAAATTTCTTGAAAAAGGATCTGACAAATCATTTAGAACTCGATCAAGGCAACCCCAGAAAAAAATTGTTGTACAGATTGTCTCAATTTTGGTTATACAAAATTTCTAATCGCCATTAGTGATAAGTGGAATTTGACTGCTCCAAAATGTTTGAGTCCATGGACAGTGGTTTGCGACAGAGGCCCTATGGAAATGACTGACATGGCTCTTCGTAGTATACAAGTCATGTAATACTAAAATAAAAAAATACATTTTTTAAAGCAAGCCTTTATTTAGCTGACAATAAAACGAACAAAACATTTAAAAAACTTGACGTTGCTTGCAATGCTTTTCTAGTCAAGCGCTTTAATTTGTTATCTATATCGTAGAGGTGAGGTAAATTACAAACGTTATTTTGAGGCGGTCGCTATATTAGATTCAGAATGACGTCACTTTGCTTATTTTATTTCTCACATCGAGTCCTTTAATTTGATACCCGTATCATTGGTGTTTTATTTATTAAAACAACGTATGCTTGTAGATTTATGCAAATCCTTTATTCAATGTTTTGGAGCGTACATTTCACGCGTCGTTCGATGGACAAGTGACAAGTGACATTCTATATGACCTATAATATCTTAAGCCTATTACACACGTTAGGATGTGTTCACACTTTATTCAAACAGTTAGAGTGAGCATTTAATTTATTAATAGCGTTTTTGCGGCAGCCGCCATTATGGATCTAGAATGATGTCAATATGCTTATTGAATGTCCCTCATCAAACCTTCCTATTTGATACTCATATCGTAGGGGTAACTATGATGAAACGTAAATCGCCAATCTGTTGCTGCCGCCATTTTGGATTTAGAATGACCTGACTTTGCTTATTGCATTTCTCTCATCAAGCCCTTTCATTTGATACTCATATCATAGGGATTACTATAAAAATGATCAATCGCCATTTTGTAGCATCCAGCATGTTGGATTCAAAATAGCGGCAGTTAATTCATTTTGCATTGACTCGCATCGCAGCCCAAACCTGTGTAACTGGTTCAAAATTCAGATCCAAAATTTGTCCTACACTGACAAACAGCTTATACAAAAAAAACATAATAGATAGTTATGGCAATCACATTACCACCCAAGGGTGGATACAGCATGCGTCAGGGGTTTCTGGTCCAAGGGGCTCGGGGGGAGTGCGATTGAAAGTTGAAGAACGGTGGAGTAGCAGTGATCCTATCCATATAATCATACGGTATAGCCTGATAGCCTAAATGAGATTTAAACAATAAATCTAATTTAAAAGAAACGTCTTTATTATTAAATAACAAAATTAATTCTTTTTTGTCTTCTTGCAAATCGATTTAAGTCTTCTTCCGTATCGACAAGTACATCTTTTTGGACATATAGTAATAATAATAATAATAGATAATAATCATAAATACATATGGCTGTAAAGATCATCTAACGAGCAAGATGCTACAACAGAACTGTAAAAAACACCTTAAAGGAATGTCACTAGCATATATTGACTACAAAAAGGCTTTTGATAGTACGCTTCACAGTTCGTTAATAAAAACCCTTAACATATATCAAACATCAGATGTACTCAAATCCATGGAAATGTGGAAGACAGATCTTAACTTGACGAACGATAAAACCACAATCACAGTAGAAAACATTGACATCAGAAGCGTTACTATTCTGCATTGTTTCCTTTGAGTTCCATCATGAATCAAGGCAATACAGGCTACCAATGCAGAACTGAAAAACAGAAAATAAGTCATTTACTTTATATAGGTGATCTCAAGTTGATAACCAAGAATGATAGAGAACTGGTCAAGCAACTTCAGATAGTAAAGCAGTTTAGTGATGACATTAAAATGGAGTTCGCTCTAGACAAGTGCGCCAAGGCGACTTTCCTTAAAGGCAAAATGACAACGAGCGAGAATGTCATCCTCGATAATACTATAACTATAAGATCTTTAGAACAGGATGAGGTGTACAAATATATAGGTGTCGATGAATGTGCCAAAATACACCACAAGACTATGAAAGCGAAGTTAGTGAGAGAATATTACCGAAGAGTTAGGAAGATATTGAAAACGAAATTAATTGCAAAAAATAAAACTTCCACGCTTAACTCCATAACGGCACCTGTCATCCAGTACAGCTTCAGTATTATAAATTGGACGCTAGCTGAAATAAGAAAACTCGACAGACAAACCGGTACTGGTATTAGGTACCTTAAAAGGTGACATTATGTCGATTTTGTTTGCATTACATTGTTTTTTCTTTATGACATTATGTAGGTTTTCATGAGGTTTGAGTTATCACTTTTTGGTTCTGATGTAATGTAAAATCTGCTTCAGAGATGGCATTACTGGAGGTAACGGCAATGCATAGATGCATACTGCATAGGGAGGATTTGTGTGCTAATAATATGTGTTGACGATAATGCCATTGAATTCTTGTCTCAAATACACTTACTTGAAACCCAAAGCTAGAAATTAGTTGCGCATAGAGTTTTTCTTAACCATTCTGGAAATTTAATATGCAAGTTTTCTGAATTTAAAGATCAGTGAGATAAGAAATAATTATATTCACGGTACACTGTCGAATTACAAGTCATATACATGCTAACAGTAATTAGACGCAACGCGACCGCGGTCGTAATTTCCCGTAATTCTCCTCAAAGTTTTTGAAAACACAAAACACCTAAAAAATCGGAATTTATAATTTTTAACATAACCTGTCTTCAGAAAGGACAACACATAAATAACCCGTCGGGCACAGCTAATAGATATACTTCATTGGCAGCAAATTCTGTAACGATTTTCTCACACAGCAAATATCACTGATTTTATACACATGCAGACCAATACACACAATCATCCAGATGCGATCTTGCTATTCAACCAACTTTATTCTCAGAGATGACAACTATAGACTACTCGGCTTCACAAAACATATTCAACGAACAACGATCCCAGTGAGCGAACCTGGAATGGCCGTTTGCACCATAAAAATTATCTTGTCTGCAAGTTGACATTTAATAGTTTTTTTTTGACGTTTTATATTTTTTTACAAAATACTAGTGTCGTAAGCTTTTAGCCATGTACGGCGCTCTCCATCCAAGAGTTAATATCGATAAATTGTACGTCAGCAGCAAAGAAGGAGAAAGAGAAATGGTGAATATAGAAAACAGCTACACTATCGCTTTGGAAGGGATCAAAAACGATCAACGGCTATGGAATATCAAATCGAAGATCATAGATACCTATAATTGGAGCTAATTTCCAAAGCCACCACCGAAACCACCAAATCCGTCCCAGGGAAGCACAACCTTATCAGCATGCAGAAGGCAGTAGTATTGAGTGCCGCACATACAATACGTAAAGTATTCTGATCACTTTTCAGCCTGGATGCACCCTAGGTGTACGGTGTATACTCGGTGTACCCAATTGATACCATAGCCATAGCTAGAGCTATGTGAAAAAACGAAAATAATAATAATACCTATTATAAGTATCTAGATTTTCAACAAAGCAAAGGGTTGGATCATACCAACCTAAAAGCTATCGTAAAGCAAAAGTCCATCAAAAGTATAAAAAAAAATCTTATAATGGCAATGAATGCTTTCGTTGTGCTGGTGCTGTCATATACGAGCCCCTTCCCACTTCAGTTGGCCCAACTATTGAAATCTTAGTTTCTTTCTTATTAAACACAAATAATAAAAATATAGCAGGTTGTTATAGGTTTAAAATATTAACCATAAATATTTATATAGTAGAAAGCACCAACTTTATCACTCCCTATTCAAATTTGCAGCATAAAAATAACACATGTTGCAATTACAACATATCAACCTATTTTCATTTCAATGCAAAATAAGTCTATAACGCATAGGTGGCTGCAAAAAATAAAAGTCATGACAATTGTTTTTATTAATCACAGCTGTCAGAATACGTTTAAAATAGTTTTGGGTAGTTAAGGTTTTCAAAATGGGTAGAGGAAATGTTATTATTGAGAAAATTCGGTTACTGATAATTAAATTTTTTAATTCTGGGAAACCAAACTCAGAAATTGCAACTTTGTTAGACTTATCGCGGTACAGTGTGAGAAATATTGTTAGAAGATAGAACGTAACTGGTTCAGTTAATATTAAGCCACGATATGTGAAAAAAAGTAATATCACAAATGCCGACCGAAGAACATTAAGAAGAATAATCGTGAAAAACTGGCATGCTAATTATTTATAATTAAGTGCTCTGTAGAGTGACGCTGTTGGAAGGAGAATTTAGAGGTCCACAA